ACTATTTTAATAATATACATATACACACGTATCGAGTTCATATGTATATGTATGTGTACATTCGGAAATTGGTCGAGGTCTCGAATTTAGATTGGCACCAAGCAAGAGATTCTGTATACACACAGGTTGGCAGTATTACTTAGATAAAGTGCATGCGCTACATGCAATGCATTGTTTTCATAAATAAATTCTATAAGGGATAGGGGTAGGTCTTCCATAAGGGTTTTTTGGGTGCCTAAAAAGTTGCTATATCTCATAGATCATTTGAAAGCCAATAAAAAGTTTATAATTCAACATATGCATACCATTAAAACATCTCAAGCTTTCAATGATTTTTTTTGTTTATTTTATTATAAGGGATAGTTTTTAAGAGTTGCAACTATGTAATGAGTCGTAAGCTTTCTAATCAATAACAAAAGAAATGCAATACATTGTGAATGCACCAAAAGAATATTTTGAACCGATAAAAACTTTTTTTTCTATTTTTGGCCATGGAAGGGTAGTTTTTAAGGATTTTTAAGGGTTGAAAAGTAATTAAATTTCATAAATTATATTAAACAATATAAAAGGAACTTTATCCAACATATCTGAACATAAATTGAATCTTTAAAATACGTAAAGGACCCCACACATTTTATATGGAAAACGGTCTTCCGGTGAAATTTGTTAAAAATTTGGGAAATTGTTCGTTTTGTACCCCTGATCAAAAGTGTCAATGGGGTCGAAGCTCAAAATGCCCATCTTTAGGCTCTACGGCAATTTTTAGTGGCCAAATATTATTTTGTGGTTTTAATAACCTTCAATGAACTCGGAACTCTCATGCATTTTTTCAAAGAGTTCCCAAGAGTTGCCAAAGAGTTGCCAAAGATTTTCCAAGAGTTCGCAGTTCATAACTGAAGCGGATTTCTAGAGAAAGAATGTAAATAAAGCGAAAGAGAAGACACGCTGAATGAATTTTTGCCGTTTTTGGCCACTAAAAATTGCCGTAGAGCCTAAAAATGGGGGTACAAAACCAACAATTCCCCAAATTTTTAGCAAATTTCACCGGAAGACCGTTTTCCATATAAAATGTGCGGGGTCCTTTGCGATTTTTGCATTTTTTTTTCGTACAAGGGTAGTTTTCGCCCTCAAATAGAAAAAAGCACACATCTAGACAATATAACTTTTGAAGTGGGGGGTCAGACGAGCTTGTATGCAAATTTTCAGGAAACTCCATGCTATCCGAAAAAATTGGGAGCTTTTACCTTATTTTCGCCTTCAGTGACTGGACTAGCTATGAATAGTTATTTTTGTATCTAGAACGCGAAATAGTACTTTTGCGTTCAAGAATGGAAGTTATTTTCCCGAGATTAGCGAGGCAAAATATCCATTTGAGAACGCAAAAATATTTCGCGTTCGAGATGTAAACAATATTTATTTCAAAACTGCAATAAAATAAGATACTTGTGTTATACTTGTATACAACAGTTTAATTTATATTTGAAATCGTTTGAATCGTGTTTGAATCAAGACGGTTTAGTCGCGGTGATTATCATAACGACAGCAAAAATTAGTTGTTTGAATAATTAGTGTCATAATTATATATTGTAATTCATATTCTAAGTGTTTAATTCAAAATGTGCTTGGAAAGTGAAGACAAGCATTTACCAGGGGAAATATTGGAAGCGGCACATGTCCTGTTTCACAGTTAATTCCCAAAAAATCGTTGAGACGTTGAACGAATTCAAAAACAAAAATTTCCACAAGTAATACCATATTTGAAAAGCAAATCAGTTGGAAAATGAATTAACTGATGAAACATTGAAAAAAACTATACGAAATTAATAGAATACTCCACATTTATGTTAATTTTGATGAATAACGACCTTCCGTATGTGATACCCAACTCAATATGGATTGTCTATTGAAAAAAAGCCTGGCTAAACAAATTGGGAACGCGTAGGCAATACATGCGGAAATCGATTATTAAAAATAAGAACTGCTTTCATGACTTTCCAATTTAGAATATATTCGGGCAAGTAAACGCCTTTCCGGTTATCTCACTCGTCAGTGAATGTTGTGTTATTTTTTTTAAATATAGACCTCAAACCTGAACGCAGACTACTATTTACGCATTTTGCAAGGTGGTGGGTGACACACAAATCGTGTTTTAGAGCGTGAATAATCATAGAAACAGTTTTATTCCTATTTTTAACGCAAAACGGACTGGGACGTCTTTAGCGCTGGTTTTATTGACCTATTTGCGAAGGTCACACTTCCAAAAGTACCCCTGCAATGGGATACGACCACTTCCTTTATCGACTAAGCTCCGAACCTACCGATTGTGATAAAAATGAAGGAATTACCGATTTTTTCCTCATGATTGCAGAGTAATTGGTGAAATTTTTGGAATAACAAGGGTTGTTCATTAGCCTGGCTATAGACAAAAGCATAATTCCTATTTACCTATATACAGGGTGCAATTTTAAGTGGGGTCCAGTTTTTTAGGGATCATAGGAATGGTACAAGTTACCCATTCCTGATAATTTCTTTTTAAATCAAACAGTCAAGCTATAATTCGTTTTTTTTTAACTGGTCACTTTTAAAAAACACATTTTATTATTAGTTCTTACATTTTATAGGTATTAGTAAAAAGGGCAAATATTTTTTTACATAGGAAAACAATTAAGTACATTATTATCGGTCTGTATGTGTTTCTGAGAGTCAAAGACAACCCCTGTACAAATATGACCTCATTCAATGTTACACCCTACATTTCTTAGTGAAAAACCCATTAACAGTACACAAATGTGCAGCAACTGTACAAAGTCAGTGTGTTAAAAAATGTTAATAAAGCGATAAAGTAAAATGTCTGTTACAGATTAAACATTAAACAAAAAACAATTGTACAAAATTTGTCAAGCAAACATCAACTTCATTTAATATTTAAACTGTAACAGAAAAAAGTTAAGTAACTAAATGATGAAGCATTGTTTTAATTTAATAATCGCCCAATACCAAACACAGTAGTCCTATCACAACTAAAAATACTCTTAAAAAATGTTTAGATTATAAACCTTTTTCAAATATTTTATCAATCCCCTTATATTCTAATCAGTAGGCCTTGAATGTCAATATGAAAACAATTGATTATATCATAGTCAATTAGATCACGTCGGCTTTGTAATACAGGGTGCTGCGATTAGCAGACGATAGTTATATTATTCGACGATTTTGGTGGTTGGGGTAATTATTAAATTAAAGAGAATATGTTAATTTGTGAAATACTCACTGGCCCGGTACTAATTAAGGGCACAGAAGCTGGAAAAGTTGTAGGTTAGGCAGCCTCCTGCGAATAATAAATGCCACACATCACACCATTGCAACAACACACATATATCTACCAGTAAAAAATACAACAAAGGTTAAAGTATCAAAATAGTGCAACACAGTGTTATTCTGCTTCTGTACTGAAAATAAATAAAAACTTAAAGGCACAGAGCGTTTAATATTTTATTTAGTTAATAATGCAGTTATCAATATTTAAATTACTATAAACTATGCGGTACATTATATAGGCAACCAAAGATACAGATAAAATAAAATATAATATTGTAAAACTATTGAAAGTACTTAATACAACTTTTTTTAACTTAAAAAAGTATCTCTTGACGTATTTATTAGTTCTAATTTGACGACAATACCTATCCCATTATATTTTCATTATCTACAAACTAGTTTGTACTGAAAATACCACAATTTAGTTGTATTTTAATACATAAACAAACCGTTATAACATTGAAAATGTTATTATTGTTATTTGCATAAATATGTACGTATATCTACTTTCTCTTGATAATAATATCTTCGTGTATGCTTAATGAGAAAAGATCAAAGCGTAAACTTCTATGCAATTTCAAGGAGATTCAAGCACCGAAAAGTTCAATGTCACAGTTAAAAGCAATTCGATTTATCAGTTCTAAAATAACCCTGAAGCTTAAGATATAAGCTCAAGGATCTTAAGAGGTGATGTGTCAAATCTAAAATAATCGTCTATAAGGTGTGATACAAATATCACTTTCTAAGAAAATATGTCAGGCACCGAATTAATAAGTGCCTTAATTTTATAGCCATTTCTCGGATACTACTACAATATTTTGCTTCTATATCACCGTGAATTGTGATTTTTTGAAGAATTGGCTTTATTCCAACACTGAATCAATTTCTACTGGGCTTTCCCACTATCAACATTAAAAATAAGTTCAAATATTGGCATACTTTTAACAGTTAACTCTCATTTTTGTATACTATTCCTTGCAGACAACTAAATCTCATTACAATTTAACTTAACACTAATCTGTAGTGGTGCTGCTAGGTTAAACGGCGAGTTAAAAATTAACCCTAAACCACAAGCTAAAATAGAAAAATAAAGCAGGCAAAATATAGATATAGATAATTAGGTTAAAAATTTGATATACCTACAACCTAAATTAATAAAAATAGAAGCCAAAAGTAAAAAATACTTACAAAAGCCTGCCGGGAAAAGGGCATACTTATAAAAATACTGTTAAATAATTAACAAAAATCACTTTTAATAACACAAGAGTTTTTAAAACAGCAATTTAATTCCAGATCTTTCTCAAACGTCCCGTGTCGGAGTAGAATCATCTGGAAAATTTAGTTAAACTAAGTGCTACGGCTTAAACATTGTCGCTCTTAAATTGATGCCTAAAAATAAATGAAGCGATATTTGTGTTGTGTATTCTTATTTCGCAAATTGCGTTGAGAATTGCCTGAGAGCGCAGGCTCGATCTAAGGGATTTTATTTTTGTCACTAGATCCCCTTGATAAATGAAAATAACAGTTGAATGTAATAAATCTATCGGAATCCGTGTACAATAATTTTAAAATGGTGATGGTGTGAATGTGAATAAATTATACTTTCTGGTAAGTTAATCAAATTTAAATGGAAAAGAAATGAGAAAAATTTAATGCCAATCTCAAACCTTTTTTTAGAAAGAATGTATACCGTTCGTTGCTCGATATGCCGCCAACAAATGCCAACATTAAAATTATTAATTTCCCATTACCTAACCAGCCATTCAAAATTAAAAATTATTAAGCAGGTTTTAAAATACAGCATTTTGCAATCTACCCCAAGTTTATTCAAACACAAATACAAAAGTAAGATGAGAAAAGTATTTAAGAAACCCAGAAGTATTATTAAAGTCAATCCTAAATATCTACAGACTGAAACCTTGTATTTAAATGAAAATATTCATATACTGTGCAGTCAGAATGAAATAATTATAGGAGATAATAAAAGCAATGTTGATATGGAATTCTCGTTCGATGAAAATTCCAATGAAAGTAAGGAAAACTGTTATGTGCCATTAAAAGACGATAATGGCAATATTATACCAAAGAAAAAGATTAAATTAAATAAATCTACCAGCAAAAGTAAAACTAATGTTAGTTCTAGTAATTCCCCATCTGCGTCTTCAGAAGACAGCATGGAAAACCTACAGGTGGTCAAGAGGAAAATCAAACGTAAAAGAGATACACTGACAAAAACCAGGCACTATCACATTAATATAACAAAACTGAAAAATCAACAAACCCTAGACGAAAAAAGCGGTGAGTTTTATATGTGCCATTGTAGGGAAAAGTATAGTCAAGACCGTACTGCTTTACAAAAAAGCGATTTGAGAATAATAACTTCCGACACGGAATCTTGCTCAGATGCCAGTAAAAGCGTTGTAATTTCCCCGATGGAAACAAAGATATTTTGCCAAAAGTGTGGCAGCGGTTACAACACAGAAAACGATTTAATGAACCACATGCAAGTGCACGAAACTTTCTGCCGGCTGTGCAACGAATACTTTCCCAACGAATATGTCTTCAAGGAACATATGCGCTTACATATATTTAAAGTTTACATGTGCCATGTATGCGGCAGGGAATTCCCGTTCAGGGAATTGCTTCAGGTTCATTTCGAGTGCCACGTCGAAGACAGGACTTTCGAGACTGTCCTGGACATGGAGGAAGACTACAGGATTCACAGGTACAGTTTCATGAATATGAATTATAATAGTAGCATAAACAGTATTCTGTGTTATCTGAGCGAAAGCCACGACATTTATTACTACAGTTACAAGTTTATGAAGGTTATTTGCGAGTTTTGCTTCAATGAGGTGTTTCTTTTCGATTACGAGCAGCATTTGCAAAATGTACATTACACTTTTTCCTTTTGACGTATAGTTATATTAGTATTAACAAAATGCGAAAATTTAATCAAGTTTTTGGCAGTTCCAAATTTAAAACGTTTTCGTAAAACGAGTAGCTCTGTGTATAAACACGAAAAATTCTTGTTATCTGTTCTTTTGGCCTTCTTTGTTTAATCATGTATTTTTTTTTTTTCAATATTTAGTTTGTTTATATTTTTTTGGCCAAAACATTGGAAAAAAGTTTTGGCAATGAAAGTTTTTGTTAAGTTAATCTTAGGGTAATAAGTACTATTTCCACTTGAAGTTGGTAGAAAAGAGAGGAAAATTTGTAAAATAATTGAGCTTTAAACAATTTATGACATATAGAAAAGACTGTTACTTCCAAAGATATTAAAATATTATTTTTATATTTAAATATTTCAAATCTCTGCTGTGAGCCACTTTGAAAAGGTATTTTTAAGTTGCAAATTATGACAAATTTCTTTTAAGTTTGGTTGTGGTTAAATAAAAAGTAAATGTGATAGGTATTTTACGCATTTGACTATTAAGTACAAAACATTCGTCTATAATTTTATGTTGGGAGGAAATATTAAGTATATAAAGACTGATTTTCACTTCAAAAACAAATTGATTTGTTTTTCTGTATTATTTTTTATTTGTTTATGTTTTGGATTATATTTTTGCGAATTTCTTATTTGTTCAAGTAGAAAATCTATTTGTTTTCCATAAAAAATTAATTTTCAGTTTATTTACTTTATTATTTAATTTTGTTATTTATTGAATGTTATATTTTTGTTGATTAAAAGCTAACAATTGTTTTGTTACCTTCTTTAAATAGTTTGTTTTTGATGAGAGAATATTAATTATTGTGATATTTGTTGAAATACTCTTTTATTTTTAATAAAACAATGTTATTAGATGGTATACTTATTTGTACCTAACTTTGTTTTGAAACAATATTCGTTTATTAAATTTTTCACATTCTATAATTTTCCCAATCATATCCTCCAATTTTTTGGAAAATTAAGGTCTCCGGTAAAGTAAATATACCTATGGAGAAATGTTTTTTATCTGCTCCCAATATAGTAAATGGACTATTAATACATGTTTTTAAGGAGGTAAGTGGATTTTACCGTAGAAGAGGAAGTTGCTATGGACAACGGGAGGTAAGTGAGGCGACTTACCTCTCTAGAGAAAAAAGCGATTTCGAGTTATAAATGCATATTTTATGAACAAATCAACAGAAATATTTGATGAACATTACATTTTATTAATTATTATGAATGAATATTTATAGTAATTATACAGTTATTACATTTAGTAACATTTATAAAATCTGTAGAATTATTCCCCTCACGTTTACTAATTGTCACATTTTTCTTAAAATCATTTGAGTCACCGGAGGCTCAATATTATCTGACTGATCCATTAAAACAGCATGATGCGACGTACTACTAGAACCTAGAGTTGAAATGTCATTGTAAAGAAAGAATCCTGTTGGCTATTTCATTTTTGTTACTTAAACTATCAGCAACATAACTTTCTGCAATTGTGGCTTATTTCCACCCACTATGTCTCTTGATTGCTAATACATCAACTCCCGTATTAGCCAGTAACGTTGCCGATGTTCTTCGGAATGAATGACCTGTATATGTTTCAGGATGTTCTAATTTCAAAAACTGTGCAATCTTATTAGGAATCATAGAAAGGGTATTCTTCTCGACTGGTTGTAACATGTACCAGCTTGTTAGCGCATAAAAGAGCGTGAAATTTCAAACAATCTTCGGATTCGTCTTTCAATTTTCTACAAATTGCTACTCTCTTATGTTCTAATTTTCGAGTAAATTTAAAAAACGAACTGAAAGCACTTTTACTTAAATGACATGACAAACACTAATCATTGGGTTATTCAATCGAATAAAGAAATTAATAATATTAGTCATCATTTTACTGATTTTATTTAAGTAAATCCTCAAAAATATCTCCATATCCACGAACGCAGGCGCTACATCTTTTTAGTAACGAAAATGTAATTTGTTCGAAATTTATATTATTGTTTGAATCTGATAAAAAGATTATTTATTCCTTCTCCTAACTACTCAGGTGTATTAATTTGTTCACTGTATACCAGCCGTTTAACAGCACCCCACAAAAAGAAATCCAGTGGGTTGAGATCTGGTGATCTTGCGGGCCAATGTACAGGTCCATTTCTGCCCGTCCATCTTTGCCCAAAATGACAAAATAAACCATCTAATTGTGTAACATTGTATAATCTACTATATATAATATAATCTAATATTGTATAATTAATAATTTCAAAAAATATAAACAAACAAAACTTAAAAATCGCTAAATTTTCAGTACTCAGTAAATAACAACGCGAACACAATATGGTTGGCAATATTTATTTATTTAGTTACTCTGAAAATAACTAAGGGGCATGGAACCCACTAAAGGATAAGTAGCAGTGCAGAATATGATTGTAAAATAATTTAAAATACAATATAAAAACATTTGAAATAAATACAGGTAAAAAAACATTAAAACATAAAAAAGCAAAATATGAAGTAAACGTTAACATGAAAATGATAGAAACAACAAAAAATAAATAAATAAAAGAGAAATAAAAACATCTATTTTTTTATATCAACGGCGTTGCACAATATAAGGATGTCATTAATAGCATATAGTATGTCCAAGATAAGGATGGGATAACAAAATGGTGGCTCAAATTAGGAAAAAGTTATGTTTATACCTAACAATATGCCGTTTAGAAAGTTTTAAAATTCCGGGTAGTTCCGGAGATATCAGAAAAAACCCGAAATTTTGCAAAATTGTTTTATTTTTTTCCGGGCTTTATTTGAAAACGAATTTTAAAATAAATTGCATATGTACATTGCCACTTTCTTCGCTCTATCCAATGGCGGCAACATTTTTGCAATCCGACGTTTCATCTTTGAGGGGCTATCATCAAGTTAATTTTTTTTAGATACGTACCGTTTCCTAGATCCTAATGCTATCACATGCTTATCTTGGACACACTGTATATTGTTGAATTTTTTTTATGAATATAGACTGGTTTAGCATATCAAAGGTTTTTGAGAAGTCCATGTATCAACTTATGAGAAATTATTATTATTAAAAATTATGAGAAATACATACAACAAATTTTAAAAGGTGTTTCAGTAAATGCATAGTCCATAGCTGCTTTGATTTTACCAATATTTGTAGCTATTAGTACCTACCATAAAATAATCGAATTACAAAAAATCCCTAGAACTAGGGAAAAATCTACAAATTGGCACGATGTGTGGTTGTGCTCAAGTATGTGTGCTTTTCGAGACGATTTCAGTCTGGGATGTCATTGAACAGGTGCATTTACAGCTGAATAATGTGAACAGCAAATGGTATCGGTACATTCACCCCAGTGCTATCCAAAAAATAAAAGTTGAAACCGAAAGGGGATGCGGCAGGTGTTTGGGAAATGAAAACGCCAAGTGTTAGTTATGTGCAGAAGTATTTTTATTATATTATTATAATGTTAAGGCTTGGTCTTAGTGGTAACACCTGATGTTATAATATTACAATGTAACTGTACAATAGTTGGAACATACGTTTTAAATATATCAGTCGTAATACGTAAATGCAACGTCTGTGAATTTTATTCTGTACAGCGAAGAAACACACCAAGAAATTAACCCGGCTATACTACTGTTTGTTCTCGGTACTAGTCGCCGCTTCCTCGATTGTACTTTGTCCGAGTCGACTCTTCCTTGGTGTAATTTTTCCGGTAAATTTAGAAAACTAGTGAACATCTTGTTGCAGTAAAAAAGTTAATATAGCAACCTTTGTACAATTTCAATGTACAGAGTGATATAATTCAATATCAGTCCAAATTTTAAAGTTAACAAATGAGAGTTACGATATCTACACAAATATAAATATCTACGTTATTATAAAATTGATTTCTTTTTACCTTGCTAGGATAAGTTTGTGGACGAGTTATATTTTTTACTCGTGAAAATCGCACGATATACGTTACACTAAAGGTTTCCTTACGGTTTTCAAAAATATTCTGGAATTCTTTTGTTACATACGAGTATTTTAGTGTAGAGGCGTTATATTTTATCTATATCTATATAAAAATTATGTTATTGTGCGATTTTCCTGTGGATCGAAATAATATAACGTCCAAATAAAAAAAACTACAGACGTTACGGTTATTACATTATAATATATATATCGTAGGTAACTCTTTAAATGACAGCGTGTCCATCAATGTTTCGAAACGAAATGACTGTTGCTGTTGGTGTTGAAATGAACCGGAAACATTAATGAATCACAGTAAATTTCTAAAATATCGTTACAACAATGTGAAGTAGTTTTTATGCAGGTAGACAAATAAAGATTTTTTCCTTTCAAGAGATTAAGTAATGTATTTGATAACTTTACAAAAATCAACATTTTCACATGTAAATGAAAAACACCATACCATACGCGTTTATATATATACACATTGTTATACCTTTCCATTTCATTCATGCTTATTTTTACAGATTATCTATATAGTGAAAATATCCTTGATAATTTTTTAACACATAAACAAGACTATGGAATGTATACTTTAATATACATAAGTTTGCGGGAAGATATCGATAGGAAACGTCAGTGACGACACGAATTTTTCCGTTATTACACCTTTCCGTTCCCTAAAAATATACCTTCGTATTTTATTAAATTGAGTAAAACGTTCGTATAAAAATTAACGTTTATTGATTGTGACAAAGTTAAAAATCTTTCTCTAAAGAACCAAATCCAAGAATGTTAATTTGATTTTGAAATATCTTTTATCAGTAAAACAAAACGATTTTTGCCGGGTTAAGTATTGCAAATTAACAAAAAAAGGTTTCTATAACATGTGTCTGGAAACGTTTCCATTTTGAGATACAGGTGGTTCAAAATTAATGAAAATATTTGGTTTACTGCAAGTTGCTAAAAACAATTGAATTTTATTTTGTTCATAGATTACTTTTGTTTAAGAAATATAAATAGAAAGATGTGCCGCGGACATGTCAGCTAGACATGTCCAGCGGACATGTCGTGAAAAGCGGACATGTCCTGAGGACACTTTTCACGATTGAAAAGTATGTGCATTCGCGGAATTATTTGTTGCATTCATAATTCCCGCAAAAATTTTTTTAGGTTAGTACATGTAAAATTAAAGATTGTATTGTAATTTTGTTGGTAATTGTTGAACTGAAACTGACATTTTAAAAATATAACTTTATTTGTCCATATTTTATTATTTTTGGCAAAGTTAACGATTAGTAAATAGTAATCAGTTGATTCTTAATTTAATATAAAATAGTTTATAAATGAAGTATGACGCCAAAATCAACAGTTTGGTTATATTTTTCTGAATTGAGTAAAAATCATTATAAATGTAACTTCTGCTCAAAAACAATTTTTAAGAATTCCAGGATGGAAAAACATTTAAATAAGTGTATTGGTTGCCCGGGGAAAATTAGAAACCAATTTATAAGTCTAAAGGTAGGTAATAAGTAAAATATTTCGACATATATTCATTAAAAGTAAATTTTGCTTTTTTGTACCCTCAAGTAGTGACCTGTGAACACATGACGTCACTCATAGGTGCCTTATTAGATTCATGGTCAAAAGTACTTTTCCCGACATGTCCGGACATTTCATCGACATGTCTGTAACATACTTTTCCGAAAAGTGCCCATCTCTAAGAAATAGTGTGACGTTTTGTTACTTTTAGCGATAATTACCTAGACTTCATGGGCAATCAAAAATTAAAACAATTTGAATGTACTCGTTTATTTTTTTTATAATTATTAAAAAACCTACTTTTTTTTCAAATTTTAACACCTCGTATCTCGCAAACGACACATTTATAGGAACTTTTTTTTTTGTTGATTTGTGACATACAATCGGTCGTTAAGTTCGACCAAGTACTTTAATTACGCCCTGCGTGATATCGAAGGGACTAGTGAGCAAAGAAACGTTAGTTATAATTTGAAATGCAGGTTCGCGAGTGTAATGGCACGTATTGTTTCGTTGTACTGGCATGTCCTATCGATTTTACAAATGGGTTCGAAGCTAAAAATATTATCTGTCAGGGTACTTTAACCAAGCGTTTCTCAGCAAAAAAAGTTCATTGTAGCCTTTTTTTTCGTTGCCAACAAAAACGAATATTCATTGCACATATTTCTTATATAAATATTAGGTGTCCTATGCATTACCGAGATATCGTCATTATCACATGTTTTTTAAATGGTTTATGTCCGTCTTTAACACTGTTTTGTTAAGAATTTACATGGATGTTTAGAGAGTCTGTTGTTAAATTTTTTTATCACAAAACTAATAATATCGTTTCAAACACCATACCTCCACAAATATATTTTCCCCAGTCTCGTTTACCTCTCTGCGGCGAAGGTCGTTAGGTACGATTAATTTGTTCGGGGAAAAACAAAGAATAAACGCCTTAAAAATAACCATTTATTAAATAATCGGATGAACCAGGTTAACAATTTTGGAAAAACAACCCGACATAGTCGAAATAAATAAAACCAACGAAAATCACGGTCAGAAACCGTTTACTCTTTTGTCATACTATGGGCTCCTCCCTTTTAAAATTAATATTTTGACTGGCGCAGAACTCCCTCGTGAGAGGGAGGCAGTTTAAGTACGAGCAGACCTTGCAGTCGTACACGGGTATTATGTAGAAGAGCAGTACCAGGCAGATGAACAGTATCCAGGCCGTCGCGAGACACACCCATATCATGAACACCTTCTTGTGCCTGTCGTAGTTCCCGAATGAGATGAACGGTAACAGGGCGTACGACAGGAGGAAGCCGAACACGAAACCGAACAGGTGGGCGTAGTTGTCCACCCAAGGGAGGAGGCCCAAAATGAACAGGAACAGGGTGATGGAGAGGAGTTTACACAGAGCCTGTTTGGGGTGCTTCAGCATCGGCCAGGCGTTCAGGACCTCCACTATTAGGCAGGCCAGGAGACCAAACTGCGATCCCGCGGGGCCCACCTGAAACGAAAAGTTAAATATAATATTGGGATGTACACCTTTTGCACACTGTACTTTAAACTATACCGTGTTCCATTTCAAAAACTTCACCCTTTATTTAGAAGACTAAAACCAAATTTGCTTAGACATTAATTTTCTGCTAAAGGTAAAAATTATTATGATTTGTATAATATAATTTGTAGAAAATGTCTATTATATGTTCATTTGGCCAACAACATATTTTAATTATTTATGTCTCTAAACAATTTTATTATATTAGTGGTAAATTTCGTTTTTATCCGTTTCAAAAGGTCTCCAAAATGCCATGTTGTGATAATATTAGTAAACAAAATATCCCTCTTATTTCTCCCTTTCGCAATTGTAATATGAATGATTGATAGAAGGTATCTATAATAAATTAAAATTACTTAAATCACACCAAATTCCGCATTGCTGCACTGCACTGCTGGGCAATGTCAACCACTTGTCATCTACTGTGATTTATTGCCCAGTAGTCCAATGCAACTGTAATCGTTTTCCATTGCCCGCGCTCGCATTCTTCAACTGAGCGTATATATTTCTATCGCCTCTACATTTAGTTCGACCAGACCTGTATATTCGTAAATAAATATGGAAACAAGTTTTTCAAATATTTCAATGCCGAGTTGCTGCGTCAGCGACCGAACCTGGTACATACTATCAATCTATTGGTTCTTCAATTGATATTGGAAAAACTATAAGGACCTCTTAGAATAGTGTCTTTGAAACATATTTAGCTTTTTTAGTTTACCAGGGGTGGGCTAAGCTTTACAACTTAATGTCTAAATTTATAAGATATTGTTTGTATTCAACCTTAGACTAAAAAAAAGGTACTTTTGTTTATTGTCGATAAAATGAACCCTTTACGGGAAAAAGAATAATAAACGAATTCATGTTTTATTTTTAATAGAAAGGGCCATGATTTCTATTTTTTTTTCTCAACAACAAAGTGACATCGCTGACACATTGATCCTTTTCTTCGTTATTAATTTACCGATTTTTGGATTTCGTGGTGAATTTAATTGTGAATAAATTCGAAATATGGAATACACGTTTATTGAATATGCATCTAATGTATGGTCTTGCGTCTTGCAATGCTTTACAAGCCATAAGGTTATATCACAACAAATTTCCTAATCGTGCTCTGCCAAACCAGAAGACATTTCAACGAATTGACACATCTAAGGAATATCACCACTGATCCTTTGGTCACAAGGTTTTTTTTTTAATTAATTTTTTAATTTTATTCACAAACGGCAAAGTACCCAAATAAATAGTGAAAAAAAAAAACAAACTATGACACAAATAAGTACCTTCCGACAATAATTTTAGTTTTGGCTATAGTAAAATACATTACAACAAATTTTAAAATGTATTTCAGTAAATACGTAGTCCATCGGCTGCTTTCATTTTGCCAAAATTGGTAGCTGTTAGCAGCACAAAATAACTTTGAATTACTAAAAATCCCTAGAACTGGGGAAAAATCTACAATCATCTACAACCACATCATGCTGCATGATGTGGTTGTGCTCGGGCATATGTGTGTTGATATTCAGTGACGATTTCAGTCCGTGGTGTGAAATTTTCAGGAACCTCAAGGTCATTGTGTTTTGCAAGTACCCCAAAATGTATACTGTTAGTGTATACAGTAGATACAATGCGAGAAGTTGGGATATATGTAGATTTAAAGATGAAAGATATTTATAAAAAAATTCTTGGGAATTGTCTCCCCTAACGAGCCGCCACTGTGGCGTATGGTAAGCAATTATTTATTATTTACTATTTTAATAACATCAACTTATATTGTTTAATGCACTCACCTATTTTTTAAAGTTAAAATCCATTCTCCTGCTTTTGTCCGCAATGAACTTCTGTGTCACCTTTTCGTTAAAGTCTGGAATATTTTGAACCATAGAATTCTCAATAAACAACATTCCTAACGCACTTAAACGATCCTCACACATAGTATTTTTCAAAAAAGTTTGAATCAGTTTTAGTTTTGAAAAACACCTTCCTGGTTCTGTTGTCGACATTGGTATCGTCACTAATATTCGTAAAGCTCGAGTAATTTCCTTAAAAACTGCCTCTAGACCTAACGACAGGATGAGATTTAATGTTGTTAAGCAACCAGAAATTCTTGGATTATCGATAATTTCTGGTCTCGAATAAAATATATTTAATTCCGTTTTTAAAAGTTCTTTGTCGATCATTGGATAGGCTCTGCAAAATTGTTCTATATCATTTAATGGAAGTGCTTTTTGATATACTGCATAGTTTTCCTTTAAAAACAGCTTTGCCCCTGAAAGGTGATCTTTAAATGTGAAGTGCTCTTTAATTTGAACAGTGATGATATCGCAGACTTCTCTCGCAGATAAATTTAAATTTTCATTATTTAACCTTCTTCTTTTTCTTATACTGAGGGCCGTTTCGTCAGGTGTAGTATCTTCAACAGGAGGCAAACTATTTCGAATGTTTTCAATAGATTTTTCAAAATATTTCACTGCTATTTGTATTTTTGCTGGATCTATTTGAACTTTTTGTAACTGGTTGTACAAAATATCTACATGCGGCATAACTTGAGCAAAAAAATTTAACCAAAACAAAAAACAATCATCTTCCAGCCATTTAGCAAATCCAGCAGCTTGTATAGTTGTTTCCGAATTATATTTTTTTGGTTCTTCTCTTTGAATATTCGTAAAGCAGGTGAGAATCTCATCTTTGTAGGTAAAAATGGTTTGGACTGTTTGTGAATTTGTGTTCCAACGCGTCTGTGACGATCTTGGTATTCTTTTGTCACAAACATCTTTTAAGGCTGCTGTGTGATCAGGAGAATTTGAAAAAAAACTGGCAATGCCATTTAGATTTTGAAAAAAAATTCTTACACTTGGCATACATGAAACTGCCTGTTCTAATAATTTATTAAGTGGATGAGCATAGCAGTACAGAAAATGGGCATTTTTATATTTTTTCCTAATTTTCACGTTGACGCCTTCTAAATGGCCTCGCATGACAGCTGCTCCGTCGTAAGTTTGGGCAATTAATTTATTTGGACAGTTTTGTAATACTGGTTCCAGTTGCCGTAAAATACATTTCGATAACCCATCTGCATCTTGTCCTTCTGGATTAGAGAATTCCCAAAATCTTTCAAAAATGTTGCCGTTCAATTCATAGCGAAACACTAAAACCACTTGAGTTTGTGTTGAAATATCAGATATGTCATCGCACATAATCGCAAGAAAAGAGCTGTCTACAATTTTTTGCAAAATATGTTCTCTGCATACTTCAAACATGCACTGTAATAGGTCATTTTGTATAGTTTTTGAGGTCCATGTTTTTAAAACATTGGCATCACTAAGCTGTTTATCTAAAACTGGATCGATTTTTGTACTATAGTCTATCAGCTCTAAAAACACCCCTTTGTTTAGCGAGTCACTTTTTTCATTATCATTATGTCCATGAAGAGGAAGGTTACATGTACCACATAGTTTTAAGATATCTATAATTTTTGGGAGAAGCAATAGATTTTTCTTAACCGTTTCGTTACGACTATTTATTTGTTCTGCATAAGCACTACTTACACAAGAATCAATATGTACTCTTCCTAAAAGTATAAAACTCACCAAGTTATTTTTGTGTTTAGGAGTATTTTGATGTTTTTTAATTTTGTCAGGTAAATGTTTTAAGTCAGAAATTCCAGTTTTCGTCCAGTTTTCTTCGTCTCCTCCAAACAATAAACAAACAAAACAAAAAAATCTATTTGTTTCCTCACAACCACACAACCACAGAGTCTTATCATAAATGTTTTTATCGAATTTACGAATAAAACCCGGCCTACTTTTGCACTCTTTCTGCACCTGAACTAGATTCAACACTGGCGTTGGACGTCCGTTCTTTTTCAAATCGACTTTTTCCTCTAAACTTAAATTACTAATAACGAGTTTTTTTATTTCACAAACCTTCATTTTAAACTTAAACGTTTAAAAAGCGTCAAACCAAAAACATAAAAAGAAAACACTTATAACCACACTTTAGTAGAACGGGTTACTGCCATATTGAGTCCAAGACCAGGGTTGCCACGCTAATTTAACAAACTGTCCCACGTGCAGACTTAAAATATCCCTTAATTTCCATAAAAATCCCGCCAACTTTAAATTCACGGAGTGCATGCTCTTTCTGCAACCAACCTAACATCCAAGGCATATTGGATGCGTGCTATTTAGATTTTTTATTGATTTAAGTAAATAAATTATTTTAAGTTTACAGTTTGAAAATATCTAGGGGGGCGAAGTCCTAGAGTCTTTCACGAGGTGCTACTTATTGTGAATTATAATGGGCAACTACATTTATTAGTTATGGAGGCAGTAATAATAAAAAAAAAAGTTTAATTTGTGTAAACTGCAATACTCTGAAATCATTTATCCTACATTAGCAATTTTAACGGAACTTTAGATTTTTCCGCTCCTTTGGTTTAAAACATTAGGCTGGGAAGTTTTTTAAACTGAAAAATATATAAAAATCGGTACAGTTATGGATCCCGATACTTACGTCAGCTCGATAAGGTACAAATATAGCGCTGGCCAGGTTGCCCGCGACACCCGATCCGATGTAGATGATTCCTATCCTTAAACTACCAGTCAATTTCTCGAGGTCTCTCATAAGAAAGTGTTGGATAAGTACGGTTATGATCAGCTGTAGGACGCCGGCGTGCAGAAATAGCGATGTCCACAGCCTGTAGAACTGGTCGGGCGTCTCTGGGAAGTAGAACGGCAGCATACCGCACACATCGTTGAGACATGAAACCTAAGAGGATTAATTAAAATATTTGAGTTTACGTTTTGCGAAAATTACAATGGCTAATAGACGATCTTGCTGTCAAAATGACATTGTTTTAGTCCCTAGTTTCATCCAATAATAGCCCAGTCATTATATACATGAACGAGCCTGTTTCGGGAAAAAAATACTATTAGAAGTTTCTCTGCGGAATATTGTTGGGAAACCTGTTATAAATAAAATATCAAAAAATCAACTCGAGGCTAGTTGGGAAACTTTGTTTTAACAGTGGTCAAACTTATAGAAAAGTGGTTTTTTGACTCACGTAAAAAAACTATTATTCATAGCGAAAAAAGTTTATACAAGAAAGGTAGGTATTAAATAAGCCTATAAAATGAGAAAAGTCCGATTAAATTCCGATAATTTGTTTATGCACAAGAGCTCAAAAATGGTCGAAAATTGCTGTTTTTTTCAATTGCTAATAATTAATGCAATTTTCATCGCAGACACTTATAATTCAGCATTTTTGAGGCTTTTTACACCCTTAATAAGTGGTAAAAATTTCAACCCGAAATACATACTGACAATTTAATTTTTCAAATTTAATTAGTTAAAAATGAATGAAAAAATGTAAATATTTATTAAATTGTTAAGATAGATCATTATTATAAAAGAAAATAGTAACCTCTATACTTTAGTTTTCTTCGAATTTAAAAAAAAATCGTTGTTGTAAGTTGATTAGAAGCTGAGATAATTTTTTTTTTTTTTTATTTAATCGCAGTGACCTTAATTATTAATATTAATAGCCGAAATTTGGAGAGAGTATACATTAAGAGCTATATTTTCATGTTCTACATTAACATTAAGGTGAATTCAACTTTTTAATTGCGAAAAAGAAGATAGCGGCGATGCGTTCTATTACTTGGTCTAGTGAACGAGTGGGGAGAGCGAGGCGGAGCATGCACGCTTAGCAATTTAATAAATATTAACATTTTTTCAGTCATTTTTAACAAATTAAAATTGAAAAATTAAATTGTCAGTAAATGCATATGTCAATACAACTATTTAGGTACAAAAACAACTAATGATCGAAACCCTACAACGCCTGTGAGCTTGAGAAAAATGAATTGAAAATAGCATTTTCTTAGATAACAAATTCCGCCAACGCCAAACCAATGAAGCTTTCGAGTTGAAATTTTTACAACTTGTTAAGGGTGTAAAAAGCTTCAAAAATCCTGAATTATAAGTGTCTGCGATGAAAATTGCATTATTTATTAGCAATTGAAAAAAGCGGACAATTTCGACCATTTTTGAGCTCTTGCGCATAAACAAATTATCGGAATTTAATCGGACTTGTCTTATTTTACAGATTTATTTAATACCTACCTTTTTTGTATAAACCTTTTTTCTCTATGAATAACAGTTTTTTTACGCGAGTCAAAAAACCACTTTTCCATAATTTTGACCATTGTTTTAACAAAGTTTCCCAAATAGTCTCGAATAGATTTTTTGATATTTTGTTTATAACACGTTTCTGAACAATATTCCGCAGAGAAACTTCTAATAGTATTTTTTTTCCCGAAAAAAAGCTATAATGCCTGGCCTATAAATAGTAAAACAAAAATTGGTAAAAACTGCCACGATTCGCTATTTTATCGGTAAAATTTAGAAAGGTTACCAACTTTTACAATAGAAATTACGATAACAGAAAATGACAAACCACCATGAACGTAATTTATGCCAAACTAACCCATCTGCAAAAACAAGTGTACAATTGGATAAATATTGCCATTAAAAATCACCAAAATTACCAGTAAATTGAAACAGTTTCGTCATTTTAATTTTCGTGGTCAATTTATTGAAACTACGAGATTTACGATAAAAAATTTAATGTAATTTGGCCAGTTTCTTTAATAGTTATTTAAGAACTGTATAAATTATTATTTATATTTTTTTTAGTGCTATCTGTCAATCAATAGTAACAATTCCAATTGCATTCTACAATTTTGGCAGTTGTTTTAATCCAGATATTTAAATTAGTTATTTACACCATAAAGGAGGTAAGTATTATTTACCAGTCCAGGACGATAAAGTCTTAGACTGGTAAATTATACTTAAGGTTTATATTAGGTTTTATTTTTTGACATTTCTTATCAATTCATTTTGACATTATTCGAAATCTTGCAAAGTCGCCTTCGTTGTTTGGATTTTGTCGTTTCTAAGGTGTTTATAAACAAAGTTACATAAAAGTTGCAATTTTGCTGGTTTTGAATTATTATTTCTAAATGAGTGATTTTCAAATAGAAAGTGCAGCAAATGCTGCCTGAGAATATTTATTGCCCGAGAAGTCGAAAGTGCGCTACGGACGAGCATATAGAAATTTCAAAGAATGGTGCCAGAACAATAATACTGGTGTTTCTGAAATGTCACTGCTAACATATGTCAAGGAGAAGTCAATAACTTTAAAGCCACCGGCGAGTTTGTGGAATGGATACTCAATGATTAAGTCAACTATTTTCATAGAGGAGAACGTGGATATATCAAAATACCCCAAGCTGAGAGCATTTTTGAAACGTAAGAATGACGGCTATACACTTAAAAAATCAAACATTTTTACAAGAGAACAAGTCATCGATTTTCTAGTTCAGGCACCCGATCACACATATTTGCTAATGAAGGTAGTGACGTTCTGATGAGATATAAATTTACTTTGGATAACGTCCAATTTCAAAAATTTTGATGACATTATTGTAGTTTCAATAATTCTAGATTCTAAAAATGGTATGTCATATACGTTTACAATTACTTCTCGTCTGGGTTTTGTTTCTCACCTAGAAATTCTCAAGAAATATATCAAGATTAGATTGGAAATTAAAACTGAAATTTACAACCAACCAGTGGGCAAGAGTACCCTTTCAATCATTCCTAATAAGATTGCACACTAGAACATCCTGAAACATATACAGGCCATTCATTCCGAAGAACATCGGCAACGTTACTGGATAATATAGGAGTTGATGTATTAGATCAAGAGACATGGTGGATGGAAATCAGCCACAATTGCAGAAAGTTATATTGCTGACAATTTAAGTAACAAAAGAAATAGCCAACAGGAATTTTTACAAAGACACTGCAACTCCAAGTTCTAGTAGTACGTCGCATCATGCTGTTTTAATGGATCAGTCAGATAATATTGAGCCTCCGATGACTGAAATGGAACGGTCAAATCATTTTGAAAAAATTGTGACAATTTATAAATGCGAGGGGAATAATTGTTTACAGAAAATATGTTGTAATACAATAATATTAATTGTAACGCTAAATATGAACATTAAGACAATAATATAAGCGCAAACACTTATTCGACAAAGTTTGGAGTTTAGACAAGGTTTCAGTCGCACTGAGTATGTTTTAAAACAAATATGACTCCATTCCTCTAAATTTTCTAAAGTGAAATTTCAACATCTATTAATTACTTGTGCGAGGAGTAAGTTCTGCAACTTGGAAATAACACTGCTCTCTTTGTGATTAATATACCACAAATATAACAAATAATATACTTTATACAAAAAAAGGAAACAATTGAAATGAAAGCCGGGAAGGTGAAGCAAATACGACTGACTCTGTTATAAGTCAATTTTTGCAAAATCTAGTTATAAATCTATTATGGTTTGCAGTAAAGTCCCTAATATAACGAAATCTATCGCCATTTTGAGGCAAAATTGGTATTGCCAACCTTGGAATATATTTTTTTTTGTAATTATTTGCTTTTCACATATTTCAAACAGTTTATTATGAATAGTCCATTATTTTAATCAAAAATACTATAACAATTATATTTTGATAATCTTTTGATACAAATAGCACAAAATATCCGCCATTTTGGGGTAAACTAGAACAGTTAGTGTTTGAATTGACAGTGTTGTGAGAAACAACTACTCCGAGAGCTATATGCCCCTACCGGCATTGAATTATACTCGCAACACCAAGTGCAACAGCTAGGATCGTCTGTCAGTTTAACCCACCAGGCACAGACCGGTTTCGGACTTATTAGTCCTCATCAGTGTGTCATAGTTGAGACAACCGACAAAACTGACAAACGATCCTAGCTGTTGCACTAGGTGTTGCGAGTATAATTCAATGCCGGTAGGGGCATATAGCTCTACGAGTAGTTGTTTCTCGCAACACTGACAATTCAAACATTGTGTTACGCCCTCTGTGGGTGGCAGTCGTACAACAAAGTACCTGCAGTTAGCAGGTCGCTTCTTACTGTAGCCATTTGAATGGCACAGTTGAGAGTCAGCATGACAGATGGAGCCATTTGCGCTCCCGCGTACAATAGAACAGTTAGTTGCGGTACTTTGTTGACCTAAGGCTAGGGACTCCAGTTTGCTGTAATGATTCATTTTTATTCTAAAAGTTGGTAAACTTAAATTTATCAAACATGTAAAAAGGTGTCGAAATATAGAGAATTACGACAACTTTTTGATTGACTGGCTGGGTCAAAAAATGGGATATGTAAAACAGGTTTCAAGGACCCAGCTTTCGCATGCGGGCAAAGTCCCGCACCTGTGAACAAAGAGAAGCCTCCTCGTGGAAAGTCCCCCTGACGAAATCGCAGTACTCCTTGGTGGTGATCTTGCATTGCCCGTGTATTCCGATGCAGCACGGGTGCCCGATCACCTCGCACACCATGTGCTCCGCCAGTTTGTCTCTCGGCCCATTCTTCTGTATGGAAAACTGGGTGTTTGTTTTGCGACATATCGGCCACTTCGTTATATCGTCAGGCCATTCGTAGGGGTGTACGCTGGCGGGAGCATCGCAAAATCTGCAAAATATTCGAAAATACCATTAGGATATACCAAAATTTGCTTAAAGTGTAGGGATAAAACAAAAAAGAACGTACTTTGGGTCTAGGCCACATACTGAGCCAGAAATTCTGCCTCCTGGTCCGGAGTCTCCATTTGTCCATTTCTTCCATGTCGATATTGTTTTCTGATGAAAAAAAAAGAAATATAAAATAGAGCGAATTCCTTTAGGAATAAATATATTTTTTTATAAAAATTTATATCCATTTATTGGAACTACGTTTGTTAATGAAACTATGTTGCAATCAAGACTTACTATTATACCTACCGTTGGTCTAAGTCCTCGCAGCTAGGCATTTTAAAAAATGTATCAAATATATTAGTAACAGGAAGATTCAAGTTTAAACAACTAAATGGTGGTAAATGTTGTTTTTTAATGGGGTGTTTGGAAACTAAGCAATACATTAATTTTATTTATTTCTAATCAAAGTAATTTTTTTCAGTTGAACAAGTGTTTCCAAATTTGATACAATTATTATTGGTAAGAAATTATACTTATGGAAAAAATGATCAATGAAATTTTAAAGCTTTAAACAGCTTAAATGGTCGTTATTGATCAGGAAATTGATTGTAAACTTTTATTTGGAATTTTTCAACATTAAACTTAATAAAATCATTAGAAACTCTTAAAAAAATTCAATTGTTGCTAAGTTGATAACAATATAAGTTAACTTTTAAAGTTTTAAAACTGTTAAAATTTACTTTTTTGCACTATAAAAGAAGCACAGCTTCAACTTAGAAAACAATCATGTTTTATACAATTCCTCGGTTTCTAGAAAAAGTATCATATCCGTTATAATTAAAAAAATGAGCATATCGACATGAATTTTGGTTGTTCAGTGTGATTGTAACTTGACAAAATGTATCTGTATTCTTTATATATCTGGAATATCAACAACTTAACAACAAAACTAACAGCTTATTAAGTATAGTAAATTTTCATCATGGTTCTTCTTAGTGTAAGCATTAAAATCTGTCAAGTCTCTTTAATTATATTGATTAATTCATGAAAATTCTGGAATTTAAAAATAAAAAATCATTACATATGTTTTTCTCTTAAACAGGTTAATGTTAATCCATTTGAACGATGATCTTGAAAGATTTTTTAATGGTTTTTAATGATAATTAATGTTACTCTATTATTTTAAGTAATCACAAATAAAAATTTATTATCTACTTTCTAGTTAATAAGGACCATTTTAAGCTCTTTAGGAGAAATGTTTATGACATATTTTGAAGGTGCATTTGCTATTCTTTCGATTCAGTGAAATTTCGATAAACGAAACTGTAATTGTAACTGTTAACGTTGTTGCCATGGGAAATTGTGTAGTGTGGCGACTCCACTGTTACTTTCTGAAAACACAAATTTTCGATAGTAAATGTCAATCATTCACATTTAATTTTGACACTTTGGCAGTTCACAGAAATTATCCACATTTCAAGAGTATTTATATTTATCTTTGGTAAAAAAAAATGTATGTACTTTTATTCACTATTTTAAACTTTTAACTATTTAAAATATACAACATTTATATCATTCCCAGTCACAGAAAGCAATTCTATTATTTACGCTTTTCCTGTATCATTACATTTTTGAGAAAATTGTGTGCTAATAACTCTGCTATTTTACTTTCACAATGACAAACACAATACTATATTATTTTAAGATTTTTAATCTATAAATTTAAAAATAATACATAAAACAAACAAATACCTTGACAAATATTTGACGTTTGTCATAATAACTAAGAAATGTCAGTATAATGATTGAAAAACAATTGAAACAACTTGTCAAAAATCCTGTACTGTGGAACAGACTAGAAATAGCAAGGGTGGTGCAATTTAGCAGACGTTGAGTACCTCAAATTTGAAAAAATGTCTTGAATAAAAAGGAGGTAAATTATGACAAAATTTTCATTGAGTTTTGGAAAAGTGTCAAAAGTACTCATGCCATTATTATTACAGGTAAAATTACTCCTTTTTGCTCATAGTTTCCAAAACCCGAAAACAAAACTGTATTTTCATAACACTTTCAATCACATAAAAATTTTTGGTGCCCCAGTAAAGTCAAAAAACAACTAAATGCTATTAATTGTACGTTGTTTTCTTTTAAATAATCTTCTGAAGGAAAAACAATGAGTTCTCGAAATTGACGTGGTAATATTCAGTAATTTCTGACTATATACTACTAAACGACTAAATACTATATATATTTTCTTGTAATTTGGTACTGCTTACCGAACAATCCGCCTGCGAAGATTGGACGCACCCCGAATCGTCGTTCCTGATGCAACAAGCCGTCTCGCGCTCCTTAGCCTGAATCTTGTCAATTTCTTTCTTGATTTTATTGTCGACTCGCATACAGGGTGCGAACTTTGCTCCTAGATGGATCAAGTCGCCGGCTCTCGGACCAAACCTATGAAGAAATAAAACATATTTAAGGTGAAACGAAATCCCTGAAATATCGATACTTACCAGAAATTTGCTGGTTCCATGTAATCCACCTGCTGCAAAGACAGGCTGGTGACCAGGACTTGGCCCGATCTCGTCTGTAAGTCGACACCAAAGGGCCCGAAACCGTAGCAGATTATGGAGATGAAGAGCACAAGGATTTGTACCGTGGTCACCCAGTAAGTGAACATGGGTCGATGGTCTTCCATGTCGTCTAGTTGTTCTTGGATTTTAGCATCCTGAGTTACTGATTTTCTGAAGGAACGACTGGAAAAATAGACGGAGGCCAATGTTAATAAACAATCATCCAACAAAGTACAGCTTTGACAGATTTTGTTAAAGAATTAAACAATGAATTCGTACAGGACCAAGTCTGATACTTTCGTTAAATGAAACAGGATGTTTTTTATTTTTGGCCGTTTTTTTTAAAATTATTTTTGATACGTACCCAAACACTCGCCCAACCCATCCCATTCCATACTGCCTCCTATCCGAATTATCCAGGACACGGTCCAAGGTGTTAGACAATATCCTGGACCGTCCTATACTGGGTCTGTTCTCGCCGTGCCTCAACACCACATCCTCGTGCTCCCTTCTCCATACTCCAGAAGGAGGCCTGCTGTACCTCTCCCTATCTCTACTGTCCCTGTAGGCGGGTTGGATGGCCTCGATGCCCCTATCGATGGTGTCGCCCCCTTCTGGAGTCCTAGGGGACGCGGGAATGGAGGATCTCTCGAAGAAGGCCTGTTCTTCCCCCGGAGAGACTACGCTTGGCGTGTCCGGCTGGTAGCTCCGGGACCACTGGGACTGCTGGGATCTCGGTCTAGGCCTGTGGCGGGTCAAGGTCTGCAAAAAGTACGAATGATATTGAGAAATATGTTTCATTTCAAAGGTGTATTTCGCGTAATTCAAAATTTCAGTGCCTTCCCGATAGCAAAATTATTTTTCGACAGGGAATGTCCGCCACTTATTTATTTACACCCTGTATAATAAAAAATAATTTTTGATATTGTTTAAAAATTTAATACGTTAATTTCACAGAGCAATATTTATTTACTTGACGCTTTGCCATATTATAAATAGAAGAAAAGAGCATAAATCGTCTCTAATCTGCAGTAAAAGTTGTATTTTCTTACCCTTAAGAAACCCTGAAAATTTGATAAAAAAATATTTATTTGTTTACGAGTTTTTGCATTTATTTATTAGAAATGACATTTTTTCAATTGCAAAAACGCGGTTGTTAGCGTTATAATAAAGGGCCTTATGAGGGCTCATTTGTTTCGTCTGGACTTATTTTTCAAGATATGCAGTTGGAAATTGTAATTTCATAGGCAACCTTAAAACGGCGTATAAACAAATAGTGTAATTGTTTATAAGGTTTTTTGTTAATAACTTTGCAAAGAATATTTTTTAAAACCGCTTTGATAATTTTTCACAAATAAAAAAAAAACTTGATTTAGGACCATTTTTAGCCGAGATAACGTTTTTTTTTATAAAAATTAATAACTTGTTTATTTATAAACATTAATACTTGAAATTTCGGGAATAAATCAATCAACCCTTCAACTTCATAATAAATGCATTTTATAGCAATTTTTAACCCTTTAAAAAACATCCTCGAATACATTTTTAGAGTAGTTTCAAAATTTCATGAGCCGCGAAATGCGCGAAAGGCGCACACAATTCTTCTAATAAGTACGTTGTGAAAACATTGACTCATAATTAGACCACGTGACCAAGTGGCGAACGTTCGTTATTTATATTTTTATTGCTTAAATTAAAATAATAAAGAATAGAGCATTTTATTATGATATTTGTAACCGGAGCGAAGGCTTGTTTACGCTACAAGAGCTCGAGATAGACTGTGAATGTAATGTTTTTAGGACGTAGAATAATTTAGGCGACGGTCGGAATTATGTTTCTGCGCATATCAAGGTCAAAGCTCATAAGATTTTGAAATAACTCTACACCTGGAATGTGGTGGAAATAAGACAGAAACATTCAACAGTGGAAATCGAGACTTCAAATCTTAACTGCCCGAAAATTTTGCGATATCTCCGGTAATTGTGGACCAATTTTATTGTTTTTTTTTTAATCTGGCGTAGCACATGAAAATAATAACTGCACGGTCCATTTTGCAATAATTTACTATTATTAATTTGTTATAAACTATTAATTTTGTAATAAAAATTTGTTTCGCATTTTTTTCGAGAAATAATTATTGACAATGGCACCAATAAACAATTTTCTTAAAAAACAATATTTTTATGTAAAATAAAATCAGGAAATGACATATTTTTTATGTATGAAGTTTATTTTAATGAGACTCAAGTTTTTGGATCTAATAATATGCATAATAGTATTACGCATGAGCTACCTCAGATAAAAAAGAAACGTTAAAATTAATTACCGGAGATATCGCAAAATTTTCGGGCATATAAGATTTGAAGTCTTGATTTTCACTTTTGAACGTTTCTGTCTTATTTTTTCCCCCACCACATTCCAGGTGTAAAAATGTATTCGAGAATGTTGTTTAAAGGGTTAAAAATTACTATAAAATGCATTTTTTTCGAGATCTTTAATCGTTATTATGAAGTTAAGGGTTGATTGATTTATTCCCGAAATTTCAAGTCTTAATGTTTATAAACAAACAAGTTATGAATTTTTATAAAAAAAAACACTACCTCGTCTAAAAATGGTAGGTGCTAGAACAAATTTTTTTAATTTTAATTCGTGAAAAATTACCAGGATTACGGCTTCATATTCATTCTTCGCAAAGTTATTAACGAAGAACTTATAAACAAATTACACCATTTGTTTATACGCCGTTCTGAGGAGGTTAGCCTATGAAATTACAATTTCCAATTGCATATCTTGAAAATATAAGTCAAGACGAAACAAATGAGCCCTCATAAGCCCCTTTAATATAACGCTAACAACCGCGTTTTTGCAATTGAAAAAATGCTATTTCTAATAAATAAATGTCAAAAATTCGTAAACAAATAAATATTTTTTTTACCAAATTTTCAGGGTTTCTTAAGTGTAACAAACTACAACTTTTACTGCAGTTTAGAGACGATTTATGCTCTTTTCTTCTATGTTTTACAATTATTTAAACAAATAATGGATTTTAATTTAGCAGGTTTCAAATGAAGCGTTTTTTGAAAAACCTATAAACTAATAAGCTTAAGTTCTTTTAATTGGAAATTAGGAGTCAATGTAACGAATAGCCTCAGGCGACGCACATGATAGAATAGTCCAACTCACGCTCCATTTATAACAGGGCTGCAGTTTGAATTCTGACCAATAGGAATTCGATAAACGCAACCGATGTCGATGGATGGACTAGAGATGGGCGCGAGTGTCATTTCATTTCTTTAGAACTAAATTAACTTAATTATTTTCTCGTTATTTAACCTGTTCACATGATTTATGGATTTTAAATAAAGGGTACAAATCTTCGCGAGGATAATACGATATATTTGCTATACATAATAATTATATTTTGCATATTTTATACACAATACATTTTTGAACGCGTACACATCTCTACCAAAATTTGACCTATTCTTCGGGTTAAAAACACACATTGTCCGCTCTCTAATTATAATCATTATTTAAACAGTGATCTTGTTGTTTTAAACCGATACTTTTTGGGAAATATTATTTCTTTTTGCCTAAACTAACGATTAAACCAAGTTTCAATCTGAAACGAATTACCTTTTGATTTACATGTATTACAAATTTCATTTACTGGGCTATATACAATTTTTTGGTGTGGCGTCGAATATTGCCATCAACTTTTCATTAGACCACCAGGTTAAAGGCCTACGAGGCAATTTGGAAACATTGGCAGATAAAAAAGTTAATAAAAGCAAAAGAAGGGACCTTAAAAAGTTTTCTAGAAATTTACGTTTTTTAATTGACCATCAAGAAGGCATTATCTTTTTTATTTCGAGTTGCGGAGGCTTTTTAGGCCGCATTTTAATTGCGGAACTGTGGAAGTAAAGTAGCAATAAATTTGGTCGGACCTCGCCGCAGACGTCGGATCCGAACCTTAAATTATTAGAAAATACCCTATAGCGGAAAAAACGTGATAACGTTATTTCGGCGGAAGGATGTTTCCTCCCGCGCAGCGGGCTTGTCGCTTTTTGCGGGTAATTTATTTCGTGTAGCAATTGGCAGCACGGAAATTATTTATGTTGCGAAATATTAAATACAATACGGGATTCTTAAGTCGTGTCATTTGGGCGTGATCTGTTATAATGATGATTTACGCTTGTCGTGTAACTCTTCTAATTTTTGTTTCCTAAATGGGTCTTTTCCTTTTCTGACTACTAAATTATATACGAGGTCTGTTCAGAAAATAACCGAACATTTTGAATTACGCGCGAATGCAGATACAGACATTTCTGTCTTTTTGTATGATAGACCAAGAAATAAAGGAGAAAAATCATGGAGAACTCGTAAAAATTACTGGGCGTGATTTTATTGTTGGAAAGTCTTGGGAATGATAATACATGAGGTGTCTCATCAAATGGGTCATGAAGAAAGTATAGCGTCACTGTTTTTTATCAACAAATAGGTAAAAAATTTGTCATTTTCCGATCTACGCGTTATTGTAAAAAAAACTATTAATCTTAGCAAAAAAGTGCAACAGACGATTTGATCTAGAGAAACTCATCTTTAAAATGAGACTTTATAAGTTAAAATTGCTTTATAAACAAGAAAGTTATTGCAAAATTAAACGGACAATGTGCTTTTTCTTTAATTGTTAATAACTTTTTAAATAATTAATAAAATCTTACCAAACTTTCCCAAAGTTTGAGTTTTTATATCTTTAAGAGATGTGCAAAAGATGGGCTCGATCGTTAAATAGTTTTTGCAAAATTCCTCTTATTTATGCTATTTTTGCAAAAAAGGCCCATTTTCAAATTACTATTCCGGGGGCAGGGTTATGACTAAAATATTCTTTTTGGGCTCATTTTTTCGAAGGGACACCAATTATCCTCTAGTTAAAAAAAATTTATTTATTTTTCAAATTTAGGTATATAATTGTTACCAAATAAAAGGCACAAATAAAATAACTCTGCGGTTTTTAAATTTTGAAAGAATTATATACACCATTCGAAAGATCGTAAAAAAACCTACAAATTGAAAAAAAAACAAGTTTCTACGATCAATAGGTCCGGAGTTACTATTTTTTTTTAAATCACAGAGCAATTTGTTATAAACATTAAGACCTGAAATTTTAACATTTTGTAAATGAAGGTTTAACCTTTATGTCCTGTTAATTGAATTTGCCCATAATTGATCAATTCAGAGCCTGTCAAAGTAAGGGTACGCGGCAGTAGCCTTTCAGGGAGTGTGGTGGTGGGGGGGATCTTCCTCTCAACCAGGAAAAATCTGACAATGTCAAATTTGTAATATCTCAGCTTCTATGTAAAAAATTACTTCTGGATTATTTCTACCACTTGTAAAACCACCCCCTATCCCCCTAAAAATGAATTTTTTGATTTTTTTTTATTTGAAATATTTTAGACAATAGTTCTCAATAAAAAAATGTTGTCAAAATTATTTTAATTTTTTTTAGTTTTTCATACATTTTATATAATTATGGATTTTGTATATTGATTAAAGGATTAATTATTTTGTAAAATTATTATATATTTATTTATAATTAGTATAAAAATATATAAAATATTTCCATAGATACTGACAGTAGAAATTTTTTTTACAATTCATAATAAATTTCAACTTCAATTTGTAGGTTTTTTTACGAGCTTTCGAATGGTGTATATAACTTCTTTCAAAAGTTAAAAACCACGGAGTTATTTTATTTTTTC